CCATTTATTTATTAATGTGTAGAGTGGGGGATGGAGTTGTCCCAGCTAATTTATGTTTATTTATTTAGTGAAGCAAAGTGGAAAATAACATTTTACCTTTTTGAACTCACATCAGATAAATCAGATAAACATATGAAGAGTGCAGCAGGAGATCGACTTAGTCGAACAGTTACAAGTGAGGGCTTGTGAATATCTTGCAATGCATGCAAACAACCAAATTGATACCAGGGGACGTAAATGTCTAACAATTTATATACCGATCCATCCAACCTTGGCCCAGACACACAAACCCACTAGATGAAAAGTCAGGGAATCCCCAAACTCCTTTTGGGATCACAATTGTCCATAATAAATTCCATGCCAATCTAATAGTCAACATACATCAGCTCTCAAGCTCTCAAGATTTGTCATATGTACATTTGTTTGTGGACGTGTGAGCGCAGGATCAAAATATATCACAGCTGACAATAATAATCACGCTGTCTTCACAGTTGAAGGCCCAAAACGTAACTTAAAAGCCTGAATTAACACCTGATATGGAGCCGTGTTTGAAGCATCAGCTGCTTCATTCATCCTTCACCGTCATTGGCTCATTAACAACATTTGGCTTCCAGCTATCCAGTCAAGTATGTGTGTACAGTCTGGCCAGAACAACCTGACACCTCACAATATCATTCTACTGATGTTTTCTCCAAACCGCCAACTAAAGCTCAATTTCTCATTGTTGAATTCACTAAAAATGAAGTGAATCTATTTGTCTTTTAAGCGTCTCCCAGCAGATTTCTCATCCCTTTGAGCTCTCCTTCAAAGAGCCGAGTCTTTTCAGCCAAATAAACGGACTGAAAGTGACACAATTTGCTGTAAATGGTCAGACAATGGACACAGGTGTCTCAGGTGCAGTGTCCCTGACTGACTCACAGTACATGACATGAGCCTAATTAAGGCCTGCAGATGTCGTGCCAGTTTCATCCACACTAAGTTTAATTTCCAGGGCTGCTGTCATGTCTCTGGTGCCATGATGATGTACCTGCACTTTATTCCTGTCGTCAGTGGTGTCGACAGTGAATCCCAGTTAATAGGTCAAACCAGCCAATTTAATCCAGTTATGAATATCATGGGATATGTAGGATTCTCTAAAGATGAATTAGATGTTGGACAGATTTTTTTTTAAGGGATTAACATTATGTTTCAGCTTTTCTAAGAAAGTGTTTTACTTGTTTTTCAGCATAATGAGCCAAACTGGATGGCCGGCCACTCGTGAAACAAAAGGCTTGTCTGTTCGTAATGTGCATTACACATAATATGACAGTGGACAGGACACAGCCATCGGGAAGAGCTGAGTCAATTAGGCATGAATGCAAACCTTCAGTCCACATTTAAATAAACGGGGAAGAGAAAAGCATGTTAAGCGAGTCCTGACCAAAGTCACCAGCGACCCCTTCCCCCAAGCTCCACATCATTAGCTAGCAGTGTTTCTCCTCTGGTTCTGAACTACAGCAGGATATGGTGTCTAACCCTGGTGGAACAGACGGACTCATTCCGAGAAACGATGCGTGTGTGTATGTGTCAGCGTGTGTGGATGTGTCGTGCTGGTCCTGACATGTCCAGTCATAGGTTCAGTTGCCAGCTAGCTGCATGGTGTGTGTGTGTGTGTGCCATGGACAGTTCAGAGCATAGAAAGAGGTCAAAACAAGACAGATGTGAGAATAGGCTCTATGAGAAGCATCCCCCCCACATCACAACCCCTCTGATGTCAGTCGCTGCCTTCCCTGTGTGACCCAGGTCACTTTGCACGGTGGGAGTGTGTTCATGTACCTGAAGGTGTGTGTCTGTCCGTGTGCAGTGTCACTCAGAGGCTGTGGGGAGTTCAGGGGCACACCGGGCCTTGAGGTGTTCTGCAACAGAGAGAGAGAAAGCCAATGAAACAGCAGGGTGAGGGCCCACATGTGATTTGTTTACATGTACATGTGCATATGAGGGTGTGATTCCACATGAGCCTGTGGACATGTGTGAGAGAGAGAGAGGGAGCGACAGAGAGAGAGAGAGGGAGGATGTTCAGGGTAGGCAAGAAAGGTCAGCAGCATCTGTGACATTATCACTTCAGTGCATTGGGTCCATGCACTTCATACAGGAAGTGGCTGTCTCCTCGCGTCTCGGAGACAAGGTCAAACATCCGCATTTAAATTCACTGAGCGCTTATTTATTCCACAGGGTCACGGCACCGTCAGCTTTAAAGCCATGTATTTTATAGACTTATGACTACATTGTTCACCTCACACATGGATCGCTCCAGAGCGGTGCCAGGGCCCCCTTTAAAACATCAAATGTCCTGTAACTACAACCCAGCTGACCCCGTAAAATCAAGGACGCAATCCAATTTTTCCCACCAGGCTCATGTTTAGATATTTTTCACTCTGCCAATGATTTAGATGAAAAAATCCCAATCTGTACTGTTTGAACATATAAAACTGTTATCAGAACTACTTAAAATGACAGAAACCACGTTTGGCAAAAGTTTTAACACATACTTTGATATTTTAGTATTTTAGTTTGGTCCATTTGCCATCTGCTAACATGGAGGCCAGCTTTATGACCTATACTGAAGCCAGCCACCAGGGGGCAACCACATGATTTGGCTTCACCTTTGTCGAAGGTTAACACTAAGGGGTCTTTAAGATTTTGAATTTGAATCAGGATTTAAATTTTAAAAATTCAGAGACAGTCATCAACAGAATCAATTTAGAAACAGTTAAGATCAAGTTGACCATTATACTAATGCATCACAGTAACATATTTACTTTGGATCCATATGATTTCATAATTCTTGTATAACTTGCAGTTTAATACAAAATGTATTCGTACAAAATGACTCCTTTTAATATTTTGTTATTAAACTATATTATTAATTCATTTTCACATATTGTTCATTGTCCCCCTTGGATGCAGCAGTGACTCCCACCCAGTCAAAAACCTTCATGCTAAGACTTTTTCATTCGTGTGACGAGGACGTGCATGTGAGAGGGAATCAAACCCATTTCTCAGTTTAAATCCGTGTGATCTTTATTATTAACGAAGCTGGATAATTACCTTAATTTCTTTTTTTCTCGATTGTGCTGCTTCTGTTGAAGAACAAAGACAGAATCAGTTACACAGAACGTATTATCTGCAGTAGAGGAGCATTTGCATTCACACAGTCATCGCAGTCATTTGGGGCTGTTCAGCTCTCTCTTGTTTCTCATGCTGTCACTTAAATAATATAGATATACCATGCTGTTAACGCCAGTTATCTTTATATGGCATTTTACAGCAAAGTCACCTTCACGCACAACTGAAGCAAAGACGCATTCATTTCCACAGTGACACAATTGTACCGTGTGAAGATGCAAACGAACCCAGCAGCAGCCGCTGGAGTGATTAAAAACAGGAGCATGTGCAGTGCACTGTGAAATACTGGGTGAGTCTGCAGTTTATTTTCCAGCATTTACAAGCAGCCGCTGTTGATGTAGAAGCCCAATTAAAATAAGAAATGGATTGTCCTTGAATGCAGGTAATACAAGACTATAGATGACTGTTTCTGCAGCTCATATACGAGTGATAACAATCAAACTGACTCGGTAATCACACTTTAAATTAAACTTTAGATAATACAAGTTTTCTCTCTGAGGATCTAGTACTTTCAATTTATCACCACCACCATCATTAAACGAATATTTTCACTCACTGCCTTTATACTGCAAAAATGGACATACCTTAGAAACCGTTGTGTCTAAGTACAATCAAAGGGAAAGTGGCTGACATACCTCAAGCATTTTGATGCCAGATTCAACCTGCATGAAGGTTAAACTAAATTTTAACTAGACAGAGCGGTTTGCATCATATTTGATGAATGAGTTTTAATACATAAAAGCAGGTTTATTTCTTTTAATAATACACTCAGTGTAAATAGGTGAGACCCTGCAGCTAAATCCAAGGGTAGACATTTAGTGAAGCCACATTTTCCTTCCGAACCAATTGGAGCCCGAGGGAAAACTAACCAAGCCCGACCCAAATGGTTTCTGTTTCGTTTTAGTTTTTTTTCGACCCTTCCTGAACCCAAATATAATTTTTTGCTCCGAATCCGGTCCACACTCCACAGACCTGGTTGACATTTAAAAATTTCAATAAAATAAATCTTACATGTTCCCATTTCTTAACTCCCATTCAAAATGGGTGGGTTCACGTAGAAGTTGCTTTGAGACAAACGTCAAGAAATATGAGCAGAAATTACAAAAATCTGAAACGCAAATGTTGTCAAACCACAACAGTGTTTGCTGTTTAACTGTGTTAGAGGGGACTCTGTGTTTGGGAATGAGTGTGTGTGCGCTCCAGAGGGAGACAGATGGGACAGACCTCCACCACCCCACACTATTTTCTCTCTGCATGACTTCTCACCACAGTCTGTAGGTTGTATTAGTGCCAGAGCAACACACACACAGACACGCACACGCACACACACACACACACACACACACACACACACACACAGTGACAACAAGCAGTTTCATTAATCATCTGTAAGTGTAAATTAGGCATGAAAAAAGAGGATCTGGAGCATAAAACCTTGGGCACATCGTCCGTTGCTGTATTCTGTGGTAATAAATTGGATGATTGAGTGAAGTTAACGAGCTGCTCTCCTGATTTTTGATCACACCAACCTCACTCATGTTTAAATGAAATCAGTGCACACATGAAGTGTCTGCATTTTCCATTTGATCTTACCGGCAGCACATTGTTCCGTTTCTTTTCTCAAGTTGTCGAAACTACTTTTTAAACCAGTACGATGACGGAGCAGCGTATTCATCACTTCGTCGTTCAAATGGTGCAGAACAATGACTTTAACTTACGTTTCCCTGTTTATTGCGACTTTAATTGCAGAGTGAAAGTCTCTCATCCAGGTCATGGCAATCTGAGAAAAGTTGAATCGAGGGAAGCTTGATTGTAGATACTTCACTTCTCATTCAAGAGGCTTCTTCACTCTGAAGAATGTTTTACCAGAAGGTCAACTTCCCACTTCTACCCCCTCCCATTTCTTTCTATTACATATTCATTTTTTCCTGTCTTTCATAATGAAACTTTTTTCGCTGCTTTTTATTATGCTGATTTCACATTTGATACCCACGCTTATTTATCTGTTTTGGCAGAGTTCAAAGACTTTTTTTAACACTGTCTTGCCCCAAAGATTAAGAATTCACCAAGAGGCTTATTAGAGCAATTCATCAAATCAGTGGGCAGTGCTGATTAAATCAATTTGGTAATAAATGGAGTGATATAAAGTCTTCTACATCATCTGGAGGCCTCACAGCCCACCTGCCCGATTAGAAGGCAATTTATCCTGTAGCTTTCCTCAGGGCCTCACTCTTTAATTGGGGGAAAAATGTGAATATCATTCAGTTTTACCTGACTGCAGAAAGCACAGGTTCTCGATGATGGATACATGGGAAACACTTTGGCCCCATGATGAGGAAAAAAACCTCTCAAGCAACCCAGTGGCAGCACCAGAAATACTTTAAGTGGCTTTACCAGACCGAAATGCATAGTACGTCTCTAAATAATTGATCTCCCCTTATCGGACTAATTTATAATGCAAGAACATAATATAGACCCCAGAATCACTCCACAAATGTGATAAATGCATGTGCTAACGCACAACGGATACTGCCATGCTGCAAAAATCTGACCATTCCCCTCCAGGATTGTAGGAGGAGTTTTTCCTTATAACGATAAAACACAACTCTGCTTCACTGTGGCCTGAGTGTACCACCACAAAAACTACCTCAAAATCAACCATGCAAACACTAAACAAAGTTTACCAACACAAAAAAACCCTAAACTACTTCATAGTTAACACAAAACCAAACATATCAAGCTTTTTCAATTAAACTCTAAATGACCCTTCAATGGTAAATGACAAGAACAGATTGATTACTGGAAAGGTAAATGATAGCTAGCCAGCATACCTGGAAGACCTATTTGTCAAATATGCAGTTTGGATTACAAAACAACAGAATGCTGTTTACTAATTGGGGTGCATAGAAAAGGGATGTAGACAAACTCACACCTCTGCATCTGTATGTTTCCTGAGTTTGCTCTGTGCCTTTGTTAAAGGTCACCCAATCAGTGCTTTGTATATTTGTCAAAGGTCCCACACCTTTATGCGTGCTCTGTCGCGATTGCCTTGTTTTGGATTCATTTCACTTTGTTTACCACATAATCAAACTCTGAAGTGACTAAATGAGAAGCTACCTTCAGTGTGAATGTAGATGAGCTGGCCCATAGTGGACTGCATATGTTAACGGACGTGCGCGTCGCTTTCTGTGTTTGCCCAGTCATATATTTGTGTGTGCAGAGCTCACAGTGCGGAGGCTTGCTCATTCCCATCTTTGTGTGATTGCGGATCTGTATGCAGCGAGGTAAAAGTGCAGGATGTTGGCGAAGGCAACTCTCGGCAAGCATCAGATGGCTCGTGATGAATAGTCAATTAACTATAAACTTGTTCCAGGAACGACCAGTGGACGAGGGAGGAGAGGGTGGCTGTTGGGGAAAAAAAGGCATTCATTATCTAGCAGCTAATTATCTAGCCACTGCCATTTCCATCCTCCAGATAGCTATGTGATTAAAGGGTTTGGTCAATCAAACAGATAACAGGGATTAGAACAGGGAGGACGGGAGACGAAGAGGGAAAGCAATAAATGATGAGCCAGGAAGAGAGGAGGCTGCCTGAGGCTCAGTTGTATCTTGTGTACGTTTTAACAATAAATGGATAACAAGTACAGTTACAAATATTATTTTTCAAATCCATCACAGACTTTGTCTTTTCTTGAAACAGTGTTTTGTTTAATTTCATCAACACAAACCAGTGTTCAGTTTATTTTGAACCCATTCTAAGAAAAGTCAACTGTTCTGAAGGACTGGGTATCATGTCACACTTTTTAGAGCCCGTGTGACACAAACATTTCACAAAAGATTGTAATGTACGCACACGACTCAGCAATTTTAGTTGAGCGTTATTGAAGAGCAAACATCAGAAGAGAGAGAAGATATAAACAGTATAAATGAATTCAGGAAAAGGCCATAGAATACAAGTGCAACACACTCACACCAAAATTCATATGATCGGTTGTGTGTGTACTGTTTGTGTGTGTGTGTTTCCTCTGATCACTTGGCAGCTCATGGAGGCTGATTTAATCTCTGTTTAGCGGGTGGTCTCTCTGATTGGTGAATCCCTGGAGGGCTTCATCCAATGGGGCACATGAAAGGTCAGGTTGAACCTCAAACGGCGAATCAAACACCAAGTCATCGCTTTCGCACAACAAACCCGGCCCCTCCACACAAACAAACGCTGCACCCTCTGCGTACCCGTGGAGGACCACCCAGACAGAGAGCATGAAATATTAATGACCAATAACACACTTCACACACAAACAATGAATTGGTCTAGGCTGGAGGGACTACAGTGGTACAGTGTGTAGATGGGAGGAGTGGGGTAAGACGAATGTGAACAATCTGCGGGGGGGAAGCACCCCTGTATACATAAACGCACTCCCTTCCCTATAGGACACTAATGGAGACATTCGACTTCACTGTGGGCCTGCAGGGACAGTTCTGTTTGTCTCATTTACAGTTATATCATGGATAAATGAAATGTGGTGACACCTGTAGAAATCACTTAAAATGAAGTTCTTTCTATTATCTGCACCCACCCGACACATCAGCCAACCTGGGAAAATACACTTTAAAGTTCAACCGGAACTTGAACCAGCTTCACCTCTGCCTCTGTTTGCTGCCAAACACAAATCTGTTCTGATACTATTAGATTCACCCAGATACAGACCAGCAGTTGGGCTGTACTACCAATAACAAGTTCTGCTTTTTTTACAAAGACAAGAAGTGACATTCATTTTCTGTATAAATTTGTTTTTTCAAAAGATTTAACCAGGTCATACAACAATGACAGCAGTCATCAGGGATCATGAATATAAAAATGGTCTCTCTATCCGCTTGTAATCTCAGACTAGTTCTTCATGTAATAGAACACAATTACTATAAAAAGCATTTTTAACTTGGTTGGAAAGCTGCATTT